TGGACGGCATGGCAGCTGGGCTCTAAAAGCAAGTATTCAAAGAGAAATCCAGGAGGAAACTGCACTGCCTTTTATGATCTACTCTTAGAAGTCACAAAGTATCACTTCTGCTATACTCTGTTGGTTGAGGTAGTCACAAAGGTCCACCCAGATTCAAGGGGAAGAGATGCAGACTCCACCTCTCGATGGGAGATGACAAAATCACATTGTCAAAGGAGCATGTGGGAAGGGAGATGCTGTGGTGGCCGTCTTCGGGTGATCCAGTCTGCCACAGGCTGCCCTCTGCCACAGTGACTCACACCCCTTCCCTTCCCCAAGACCCTCAAGGACTGTGACTCTCTCTGTCCTTTCCTTTGATCAGAAAGAGAGAGTTTCTCTTACACTTTTTCCTGTGTGTGCAACTTAAGCAGTTCTGAGTTCCAGGTTGTCCTGCATCTATGCCAAGAAATGTGGAAGGAAAAAAACCCAGGACACTCACCATCTTACTGGACCTTCTTGGAGTTTTGATTTCCCTCCCCGATCTACCTGCTATTATTTCCTTTCAGTCTTCATTAGTTGCTTTATGTGTTCTGTCTAGGGTTTATAGATGGAACCAGTGGGAGAGAGACCATGGAGTCTGCTTACTCCATCTTGACTGGAACCAGATCCAGAAGCCATTTCTTAATTTTAGATTTGCTTGTCACCTGAGAATGAGAAACAATTTTATCTTCAAACTCAGCAAGACCTGTCACCTTTATATTGAAGTGTTTGTTCTTTAGCTTATCTTTATACCCTCTCATTTTAATGTAGGAGTTGGAAGAGGCCAGGTGGCACTGTCAACACTGTGCCTGGACAATTTTGTGGCTAGACCACATGGTTCATCGGTACAGTTTCTATCTTCCCAGTTACCATGGATGTCAATGTTGCTAAGCTTCCCACCGCTGTATAAAAATGTCTCCTTCCTTCCAGATTCCAAGAATATTTTCCTCATGTTTATTTGAGCCTCCACCGACAGACGTTCAAGGCCAGTCCCAAAGCCAGTGCACGTGTTTTAGGTTTTCATTACAGCGTCACTCGCTCTGGTTCCAAATTCTGTATCAGTTAAAGTTTGATCAGAGTTGCAAAACCACTTTAAGCAAAGTAAGGAATATATTGTGGGGATTAGAACACACATGATTATGGGAGCTGGTTATGCAGTCTGTGCAATCTGTCCATGCTGAGTCAAGACCTGGGCCTGAGTCAGCGGGATGGACAAGCTTCATGGGGTAGGTGGAGGGGAGCGGGGGAAGGATGCTAAGTGGAGAAGTGAAGATGGCAGGGGCAAACTGGAACCTGTGTGGATGGATGAATGGGAACCCGTGTGTCCCACCTCGGTCTCTCATGCCTCCAATTCTCCAACTTCGGTGATGAAGGCGACCTGCAGAAGAGCTGGTGCGCTTCACTGTGGAGTTACATGCAAACCTAACCAGGATTTAGAGCTGCTGCCCTCCATCGCCAGGTGAGCCAGTGGAGGCACCGCTGTGCTGGGAGCTGCCGCGGCACCTGACCCCACGTGGACCTTCTGACTTCCTGCAAACACTGCTCCTGTCTCACTTCTGCCTTCCAAATGTTGCTCAGGTTTCTGGGATCCATAGTTCCAGCTTAGCTACACTGACATCGTACAAAACCACCACAGTCTCCAAGCTGCTGGCCAGGGGTTAGGGGTATAGCCCGAGAATGCACAGGAAGCATTTGTCTCTCTGTAATGGCGGAGATTGGCCACTTGAGGATGTGTGTGAATCACGTGCAAACAACACACGTAAAGGTAGGAAAGTCAGTATTTATAAACCAGTGATACTACAAAACTAGCAAATAAAAATGAATAAACGTCCAGAATAAATTTTAGTAAAACTATTAAAGTGATGATTAATGCTGTTCCAGCATATACGAAACTGATCATTAAGATGCTGATAGGTTTTCTGCATTAGTCTGCTAGGGCAGCCACAACAAAGTACCACAGACTGGGTGGCTTAAACAACAGAAGTGTATATTCTCACAGTTCTGAGTCTGAGATCCAGGTGTTGGCAGGGTTGGTTTCTTCCGAGGCCTCTCTCCTTGGCTTGCAGACGGCACCTTCTTGCTTTGTGTTCAGATGGCCATCTCTCTGTGGGTGCACCTGTTGGTGTCTCTGTGTCCTAGTCTCTTCTTATAAAGACACCGGTCATTGGATTAGGGCCCACTCTGATGACTCTACTTTAAGTTAATTACTTCTTTGAAGGTCCCATCTCCAAATACAGTCACGTTCTGAGGTACTGAGGTTTAGGACTTCAACATATGAATTTGGAGTGGGGGACACAATTTAGCCCATAACATTTTCTGTAGTACAGTAACGTTTGAGCAATACTACATGCTCTGTTCTCTTCTTGGAAATCCACAAAGTCTATTTGTATATGAAAGATTATACAAAGTCTTGAAAAATATCTAGTATTCGTCTTTAACACGCCCCACCATTTTATACATTTGTCGATAATCCTAAACCATCTTTTGTCTCTTATACGTTGGCCAGTGATGTTGAACAATTGCACGGTGATCCTACCTGCCAGCTGGTGGTGGCAGTCAGATAAGGAAATACACGTGAGCGGAGGAAAGCAAGTACAAAGTACAACGCAGGCCCAACTCTCATCAGAACCTGCGCTGCTCTTTCGGCCCCTCCAAGCCCCAAACTTTGAAGATGCTTGGTGAGTTTCTGTAGATCTACACTGAGAGATCGCTTTGTAAGGGGGCAAAAGGGTTGGCCTTTGCCACGTGGAATTGCCTCTTCCGACTGTACCAAGGGGATCTTCCAGACTGCTAGGGACCTGGAGTCTCCTTGCTCACCTATAGCTGCTGGCCTTTCACCTGGCCCAGCCTCTGCTCACTTCTTTGTTTTCTTGTTCTTTGCAGGTGAGGAAAGGAACAGAGCTGTGGACACCACTGGGGTGTGACAGGCAGCTGGGCAAGGATCCATCCAGGAAGGTGAGGCCAGGTCTTAATGGGTGGGGATGGGTGACAAAGGTTACTGGCTTGCACGGGCAGCTAGTTGTGCAGTGGCGGTGGAAGAAAGAGCCCCTGGCCACAGCCCAGCTCCAGAGGGCCCAGTCAGCCATCTAGCTGTATATACCACTTGCTCAGGCCTCTCCTGGTCCGTGGCCTACCTTCTGCTTCCTAATCTTACCTTTCCAGCCTAATGCTCATTTCAGCTAGAGTTCTTTCCCTGGGCACTGCGTCCCATTCTGAGCAATTCCTGTGGCTCTGGCCTTGCAGGAATTATCTGAGTCAGACCCCAGACTCACTCCACACCTCAGCCAAGGGAGGACCCTCCCCGCTACCTTGGCACCTGCGGAAGCAGATGGTTCTTTCTGTTCTCGTCGTGCTCTCATTGTGAATCATCTCCAGGCATTGCAGGTAGAATTTGTCAGCTTCTAATGTCAGCTAAGCTTTCAAACTGGTATCTTTGCAGCCTAGTGAAGATGATATGATTTTAACGAAGTGTGCATCTCAACAGCGACTGACCCGGCAGGTTAGCACAGTAATAACAGCTTTTGTTTGAGCAGGGCACGGTGCAAGTTGCTTTACATGCAGCATCTCTACTCCTCACAAGAGAGCACGTTGTCCCAATTTTACGGAGAAAATGGGCTCCCAGAGAGCAGCTTCTCATGGCTAGAGCGCGTCAGAGCATCAGCTTGGGCCCCTGGCTCCCGACTCCAGGACCCGGGCCCTCACACGAGCCTTCACAGACATACTGGTTTATGTTAAAACAGCCCTTAGCACAGCATTGTCCTCACTGTCTGTGGAATTACTGCATTTCCCTCTAAATCCCAATTCCGAGTGAGTGCCTCTCCTCCCCCCGGCCATAGCCTCTGTCAGAATGCTCCCCTCGGAATTCAGTACACTCAGTTCCATGAAAACCATTCGTACCCCGAGCCCGGTTCGCTGGGTTGCTTTGGGAAATATACTGTTTCCAAATTAAAACTGCCACATAAATGTGAGGGGAGGTATTGGTGCATTTCTCTCCCTGGCTGGCCGCAACCTGTTACGTCTGCACCTTTTCTTTTTCAGAATCTCCCTTTCTCATCACTGCGTCCAGCAACGCCCGCCCTCCATCTCACAGAATGTAGTTGCATTTTAAGCCAACACCCCTTAAAATCTTACACACGTCTTTTCTTTTTATATTTTAAGAACAAAATAATACACTTAAGAACATACCAATTTAACCAAATAGGCTTAATTGTGGGGCTGTCACAGCGGTGTGTATTTGGTAGAATTTCGTGTTCTCGTTTCACCGTATTCAGAGAGGATGAGTGAGAGACTTTATGTTCCTTTAAGTCATAACTTACAAGGCAGTTTTACAAATGTTTTCTCACTGGCCCCTTAAGAATCTCTCAGAGGCTTAGACAAGTTGGTATTTCACAGAAGAGGGAGAGTGACTGTCCGTGATCCTGCAGCTCATGTGGAGAGAGGCCTTCTGGTCTAAGAGCTGTGCACTTTGACTCCACCTCACGCTAAATTCAGGTCCTTTTTTCTCTTTTTTTATGAACATATATCCCCATATCTCCTCCCTCTTGCGTCTCCCTCCCTCCCTCCCTATCCCACCCCTCTAGGTGGTCACAAAGTACTGAGCTGATCTCCCTGTGCTATGCGGCTGCTTCCCACTAGCTATCTATTTTACATTTGGTAGTGTGTATATGTCCATGCCACTCTCTCACTTCGTCCCAGCTGACCCTTCCCCCTCCCCGTGTCCTCAAGTCC